CTACTGGGGCTCCAAATCCCTTAAAGTTTTTTTCCGCTACTCAGGTGGTACAACAAGGATGAGCGAGTCGACCGAGGCCGGGCCAGCAGGCTTCCTCGTTTAGTATTCCCAGAGGGTCCATGTACCCAATAATTAGGTACTTGGGATTTCGGTAATAGCATTTTTAGTACCGATTTTGGATAAGTATATGATTATTGGGTACTTGGACCCTTAGGGATTGTTAGTATTGTTGACTTTCCATCCATTAGGTTGTTCCTCATTTTTTGTCCTTTGGCTTTTAGTTATACAGGAACACCCAAAAGGTCAGTATTCCGGCTTAGGATTATTCGAATTATTTTTGTCTTTTTCATTATTAGCAGAGCTACCTTTGGGTTGAGGACTTCGGGTTTCGGGTTTCGTATGGTTGTTACTATTTAATAATGATATAGCCAGTACTATCTAATGTTAATGTTGTTATGATTCTTCTTTAGTGTTGTGTTTATTATTTTTCTTGTTTGGTAATAGCGTTGTTATCGCTATTGTTCAGTAATTTGGCTATTATCGTTGTTCTTCGGATTGTTATTCTCATTATCGTTCAGTGTTAAAGACATTTTCATTATTGTCTAAAATTGTGATGTTTCAGTATTAATGATATTATCATGCTTGTTTGTTTAGGACTAATCATATTGCCATGACTGCTTAGTATTCATGGTCTTATCATTGTCATTTAGCATGATTATAATCATTCGTGCCTAGTAATAAAAAGATATTCTCATTATTATCCAGTATTGTTATTATCAACTTTGCTATTTCGTATTAGTACCGTTTGTATTATCATTGTTGTTTCTATACGCATGCTTACATGGCTCATTATCTGGGCAAAATACAACGACCTCACCGGGCTCACCGTAAAGGTGGTTTACCTGGCGAATTCTTCCAACATTACTTAAAGTGAGGTTTTGAAATGAATATGAACTGGCCAGTATCATTTCTCACAAGCTCACTGTAACGAAGTTGTTATGCATCAGTCCCCCACCCTGTAATAGTGGTATCATAGGAATATAATGGGACCTAATATAATCCTTGTTATCCCGTATAGGTCCCTATTACAGGGTGGGGGGTCCTCATAATGTATGCATTTTGCTGTGTCAGAATCCCATCTAACCTCACGAAGGGAGGTTGGGACGGACATCCATACATACTGTCAGTACCGGGTAGCCACCTATTTGAATTCAACTCTCCAGTATCGGCCTCCGGGCCTTCACCCTACATCCCTAGCCCTATAAGCCTCATGAAAATTGTTGAAGAACGCAGGCTGTGTTGAGCGTTAGTTGATTTTGCGTGGGATGCCATCAGCATTATAAACTCCCAGGTACACACAAGCCTCAAGATCGCGCATTCCTGCTCTGTATTGTCACCCAAGACTGCATTCTAATCGTCCAGGTGGCCGCAGTCCCGTCTATGGGCTGAAGGCTTCTGACTTCTAATCCTAAGGGTCCAAGGACCCAAATAATAGGGCTTTAGGTCCCAAATACCATGAATATTCTAGTAGTTGATCCTTTGTGTAATGCGCTTCTGACCAGGTCCTTATGGGTGCGCGCGGTTCAGTGACCGTGAGGCCGGTGCCTGTGGTTTTTGGTGCTCAAGCAGGTATAGACTGCAGCTCCTTCATAATTCTGGACGGTCTAGGGTATGGGTTTTAGGTTTTGGGTGTTTTGGGTTTAGGGTTTAGACGCTGCAGAAAGCCTCGGCTCGAACATCTCTCAACCGGGGACTGTAAGACACATAGCTTTATATCGTGAGTCTATAGTCCCTCTTAAGTAGGTAGAATATGGGGTATATGGGGATCTTCGTATAATATACCCAAAAGCCATATTCTATCTACTTAAGGGGGACTATACTCATTAGAGAAACACTCTGAAGACTCAACAGGTTGGCACCGAGCAGAAAAGTCTGACTAGAATTACTAGTAATATCATGAATCATATTAGCTATAATAGAATTACTATAATAGAATGACTATTTAATATTATGAATAATATTAGCTATAATAGAACTACTATTAATATTATGAATAATATTAGCTATAATGCCAGGCAGAGTCTGGAATTCCAGCCAGAGACTGGCGGGTGCGCGGAAAGCCTCTGTGCCTGGGCTCTTGAATGGGCTGGGCTTTGCAGACATGGGGGGGCACGGCTCAGGGTTTCATGCCTGCATGCGGCGTGAGGTTGAACATCGGAATTCAGCAGCTTCTGTCCGGGCAGGTCATGCTATTTGAGGTTTTCTCGAGAACCTTGCTTGGTAGTGGACTTAGCACGCTGAGTTTCAGGACTCATGGTTCTTAGTCGGCAAAAAGTTGCGCCCAAACCCTGAAGGCTAAAGCCTACAAACATTGAACCCTTTAACCTAAACTTCAAATCCCAAATCCCAAGCTCTAAGGCCCCATATCCTCAACCTTATATACATATATTCCCGCATATCCCTAACATATACCTGGCTTTTGTAGCAGCTCAGGTGCTGCTCTGCGGGCACAGCGTCTCGTCCCAGCTCAGCTACCTTAAATCGGTGTTTCCCAAAATTTAGGGTCCCTTCGGGGGGGGGGGTCCCTGTTCTAAGGAGTATATTCCTTTGGTGTCTATATGGGGTTGCCACAATTTATGGAAACTACCAATGTTGCTGTAGGAAGTGGAGCATTGTGAATTGGGTTTGCTGTCTTCTACAACCCTTGCTCAACCTTCATCATAACTGAATCAAAATGTCAGTCAACATTAGACTTAATCCTGAACAGCCGTCTTCAACTGGCTGAAACCCTCATGTTCCCCTGATGCACGAAATGGGGATTTTGCTTTATCACCTCCAACTCAGGGTTGTTCATCGGCCTTAGGGTTTAATATTACTTGCACAACCGTCCTGTGGTACGCCACCACCCATGGTTCTCTGGGTTGTTTGGAATGGGTTTGTCCGGATTGCTTGGAATATGACATGAGTATCAAAAACCATGCAGGCTCAGGGGGAGCTTGTTTCAGAAATGTCCATCTCCTTTCCTATCGATTTGGAGCATTGTGGAATGGAATAAACTCCAAATGTGGATGAGATGTCTCGCTCAATCACTGACTCATTAGCTGGTGACCTGCTTACTTGGCTCTTGACGAGCAGACCCATCCCATGAACATGTTTCAGAAGGCGAAAGCCATTGCTCCCTTTCAACAACTTCTCTCACTGACAATATCATTGCGCAAGCAAGTTCTGCCCCTTCTTTTCGTGAAGTGCCGAAGGTGGTCCTCATGCATTACGACCTCTGGCATAGGGGCGGTGCCAACATATCTCGTGATGGCATCCGCTACATGTTCAAGTTCCAGCCCCTTTGGCAGATCTGGCCTTTGGGATCACGGGTTTCAGGTATGCGGATTCTATGCTCCCAGACATCTTCCCTCTAACTCAGGCTGAGCTGAGACAAATACTGGATGTAAGGATTTGCCTGCCGAAAGCAATGTCCAGGGCTGGAAGTATAGGGAACTAGGATGAGCCCTCCCGAGCTCAATGATAGTCAAATTACAGGGACACGGTAGAAGACAAAAAGGTTCACTAACAGTTGCGTGCGGTGTCCTGATTTTGTTCTCCTAGCACTTTCAGCCTCTAGGGCTACTGTGTTTTATCATCGGGATTCTGTAGGGTTAGGTGATGATCCTCAAGGGTTTCCTACATCCACCTCATATAAAACGCTGTGCTATCTTTAGCAGGACTCAGCCCCCCCCGTATAATATCGATAAATCAACAATATATTAAGAGGGTCCGGAACCTGAGGTTCAGCAGAATGCTGAGTCCTATGCTGGCCCCGCGGGTTCGCACAGTTCCCGGCGCAGAAATTCAGTGGGACGAGTTCTACGAGGACTTCTGTGGTGCTTGTGCAGGTGCGTGCTGTGGCCGAGTTGGTCACTGGTGGCGGTGAGGGTGGAATGGGTGGACAGCGCCACGGATCACAGTAGTAGTAGTAGTAGTAGTAGTAGTAGTAGGAGGAGGAGGAGGAGGGGGGAGCACATAGAGCAGAAGGAGGAGGAGGGAATGTCGTAGTGCTAGGGGTGGGGGGGGTAGTAATGTGTCTTGGAGATCCAGGAGGGTGCCGATGCGCCAGCCCGCATGCAGCAGCTTGGTCAGTCATTGGCTGTTGGCTGCCGTGAATTTCTGACGGCGCCCATGCCCACATGCATAACAAGTCTGAGGCTAAGGTAGAGCCCGCACGAGCATTTCCAGAAAGAGGGCCCAATCCTGAACCCGAAATCTGTAGGAACATGCTTGAGCCCCGGTGTACCTTGTGAGATATTGCATCATGATTGCCTCGGAAAAACTCCCATATCAAGCACTCCGCTAAAGCTTAGGCCTGTGTGGCAGGGTGTCTGGGACTGGCTGCACCAGTCTGATGCGGAGGCCTGGCCAGTGAAGAAACGGGGACTGCCCAACAATAGTGGTACCTTTTTGGGATCCCCATATTAAGGTTTGTAGTATATTGAGGTCTCTATGGGGTCCCCCCATTTAGGAAAACTACCAACAGGGAGGAGCGTCAAGAAAAGGCAGGGGTAAATTATTGCGTCTGCTTTCTGGCAAGCTAAACCCTACGCATAAGTCTTGATTCTGAAGCTCTTATTCCTTCTGGGCAAGGTCTGCATTGGCTATACGTCAAGCGCGAATGCCATGATTCTTCGGGGGTCATAGTGGAGGCTCCAAACCCGCCCGGGTTGATGGGGCTCTGGAGACGTGGCCCGTGGGGCAATCATGGATTAGACAACCTCACATGCGAGAAGCTCAGTAAAGAGGCATCAAAAAGGGCTCTCAGCAGCAGATGGCGCTGCTTCTCAGAGAAGCTTAGAGGAAGTTTGAAGCGTGACAAGATACAAACCTGTCTAGCAGGAAGCACGAGAACCCATTTGCTTGTGACCTTGCCAAAATTCTGCCGCAATTCCCATGAAGCATTCAAGATTCCTCTTCATGATGCGCATGCAAGTGGCAACCATAGGCTCCCACAAGGGGCATGCGTGCAAGGCTACGCAGCAGGTGGAAAGCAAGGATCTCAAGGCCGGGCAGTGCATACAAGGCTTCCGGTTCAGGGCTTAGGGCTTAAGATGCAGAAGTTATCGTAGGAATGAGGTTTAAGGTTTAGGTTTAGGGTTTAGGGTTTAGGGTTTAGGGTTTGGGGCCTGGGCGCATAGGGTATAGGGCTGCGGCCTGGGTTTGAAGTTTGGATGTTTGGCTTAGGACTTGGTGTTTGGGTTTGGAGTTGAGGCTCTTAGGCAAACCTACGGGAAGATAAGAGAGACCTTTGCAAGCTACTCCTAACCTGGAGAGTCCTGATGTACTAGCACTATCATTACTATTTTTATGAATACTGTCGTCATACTTACTAGTAGTATACATCCCAAGCTTTTCCAGGCTCCCTCCTGGGGTAAGGAGAGAGACGAAGAGTCCTGAGGCCGTGAAAGTGCGCCGACGACCGGAGAACCAGAAAAGAGTCCTGCAAAAACTTCGTTAGGGTTTAGGGTTTCGGGTTCAGGGTTCTTGTAACATGCCAAAGTTGGGTTCCATGGTTGGGGAGGGCAAGCTTTTCAGACATAGATTTTCAAGATTACACCACGCCCGGGGCATTTTGGCTGACTCCCTCAACCCAAGAAACTTGCAATCACCGACCTTCCCTGGCCTACACTGCAAACACTCAAATACCGGAGGCCATACCAAACACCTGAATCTAAGCTTGAACACGAAACCCTGGACCTGAAACCTGTAACCCCAACCTGTGCCTGAGTTTGAGGTAGCAACCAAGGGTCCCCGGCATCCTTATATATATATATACATACGCACTACAGGCCTACATGTATCCGTAAGGCTCCCTAGAATCCCCTTAAAGGGCTTAAGGGCCCATATTAGGGGGCCACACGTCTAACTCTAAACCCTAAAGCATATTAGGGCGCTATACTTCTAACTCATGCCTGAAGCTCAAGACCCCAAAGGCAGAACTGTCAGAGCTTCTTCAGGGCCGCGGTCAGGCAGAGCCGGGGAAAGATGCGGTTAAGGGTTACGGGTGTTTGGGGTTTAGGATTTATCAGCGTGGGTTTAGGATGGTTCATCGGGGTTTGAAGATTGTGGATTGGAGCTCAGGGTGGGGGATAGCTCAGGGTGGGGGATTTGTTGGGCCTCTAACCAAAGGAGAAAGATAAAGGATCTGTGGTTGGGCTCGAGTTACTCTAGTTTCAAATCGTGTCAATGCATAGGCATAGGTGTTCGGGGTTTTTTTGTGCGCAAGTAAGGAATCTGCGGCCGTTGGGTTCACTGGGCACAGAAACTGCCCTTCAACTTTTGAGGCATCGGCGACTCCTGGAAACAAATCGTGTAGCCAATACGAAATGCCAGGCAAAGCATGCTTCCTCCTCCGCCCCCACTGCTATAATAAGAAGCCCAACCCTAAACCCTAAACTCTCAAGCTCCCTTTAAAGGAGAGTATGGCAAGCTGGGAAGCTAGACTCCACTGCAGCCGCCGCATAAGCTAAAAGAACATGAGCGCCGAAAAGCAAGAAAGATGCGAGCGAAGTTCATCGTGGACTTCAAATCCCAAATCGATCCTAAGTTCTCCACAATATATATAAAAACATAAAGTTTGACTGGTGGGATTCAAGGGGCCTACTAGAACCAGGATGGATGCATTTCTGTGAAGTTTCAGATGCTTTGATAGTGGTGAATGAAAATGCTCTTGGTCAACAATTCCCGAAGCATACCGTTTCACCTATGCCAGGACGCTGCTGACCCCTTGCGTGTTGCGGCGGCGTGGCGCTTGGCAATGCTTTGTAGCTCGGCTTAGCGCCTTGGGGCTTTTCGGGCTTAGGGTTTAGGGCTTAGGGCTTAAGTATGGCTCAGGGTTGACACCTTAAGGTTTAGGGATTAGGGTTTAGGGTTCATGTAGGGTCCGGGATCAGGGCAGGGTCAGGATTCAGGGTACAGGGATTAGAGTCTAGATGGGGTGCTGGGGCATGGGGCTTACAATGCTTCCGAGCATATATATATATATATATAGGGCATTGGAGGAGTCAGTGCAGCACTTTTTGTACCAGGGCTTCTCAGGCTATGTGTGCATGGGGCAACAATTTCTTGTAGTTTAGGGTTTAGAGTTTAGGGTGCAGATCTACTCTAGTCCACGACAATGTAGGGACCAGGGCTTCAGGGTTTATGATTTAGGTTAGGAGTTGGTTGCTATGGACATATATTAAGGAGACATCGCAGCAGTTATGTGGGGATTGCGTAGTGGGGAGAGTTTCCTGTGCCAATGTTGCGCCTGAGCATGACCCCCCCCCAAGCATTTAACCCCATATGTAAACGTGTTTAAAGAGCACAGGAGAGTGCCAAAGGTCCCTTTGGCCGTTCCGTGCCTCTGGCGAGTATGCTGAAGGGTGTGTTGTTTGTAACAGAGAAGCCCTGAAGGACTTTAAGTTTTACAGAGGTTTCTCGCTTCGTTCCCCCCCATGACAGAGTATCCGTAAATCCTGAACCCAAAAGCTGCAAGATTGCTTGCTACAATCTTGAGAAGAAGGGCCCATGAGCACTCAAGGTTCAGGGCTTGAACCACAAACAGCCCAGGGTGCCTTCAAGCTTTAAAACTATATTCCCCCCAAATCTTAAAATCATTCTTGCTCACCTTCCCCAAGCCCCATCCAGATCCTTAACAGCTCCCAGTCACTCCGTGATCGTAACGGCTTCTGCTCAGGCAGGGGCAGACAACCTGAGATTTCGAAGGTCCTGGCAGCTTTAGACCAGCCACTCGTCATTCCTTTGGCATGGTCTAGGGTTTTGAGAAGGCTTTGTAGGGGGTGAGGGCATTAGTATTAGCATTGGGGCTTGGAATTTTGGGAAGCTAAGGGATCTCCCTTTGCAAGGCTCTCATGTAAGGAGCCCCTGCATAGAGGACCAGTGTTCATCACCCTTACTGCGCTGAATGGTGTGATTAGTAGGCTAGGCAGGAGCGGGTCCCTAGAGTAGTTCTTATAGACTCAAGTATATCAGTCCCTAGCAATAGCCCCTATATTCTATTCCGACATTCCCGACTAATCAGGGGGTTTTGGAAAGTGCAACTTGGTAGCTTCTCTGGCCTTGGGGCTGGGTCTCAGGATATAGATACCCCAGTAGTACCCTTTTTCCCTTTTTAGTTTTGCGTCTCCTCTTTAAAACAGAACATTAGGAAAACCGGTACCCTCACGATTTACATGGTTCCTAGGGGAACCTAGGGGTATACTACAGCAACTACGGCGGAGGGGAGCAGCAGCTCCTCTTGCAATCAGTGTGCGTCTGAATGCAGCCTGCAGGGGACACTACCCTGATGCTCAATTGCTACTGAGGGGATTCATCCCCATTTTCGCTCCTACAGAATCCCAGAAGTGATCCTGAATCCAGGCACCCAACTCCCAAATAAGCACGAGAGTACGTTTTATACCCCTGCCCCAGGACCTGAACCTGGTCACAAAACCGCAAAGCCTGCTGTCTCCCCAAAAACCCTAAACCCTAAACCCTTAAAACTGAGGGTGTGAGGTGTATGGTTTTGGTGTTTAGCGTCCAAAGGTGCAGGGCTTACTTTAGCAACTTTGGAATCCCTTTTCTCCTGCGTTTGAACAGGACAGAATTTGGTGTAGCTTCCTATTCTGGAGTGTTCCATCCTTTTGGGGGAATTTTTCATGAAGTAGGTGTGCCCTTGAGGCTGGTGGCTCTGAAGGGCCGCAGTGCTGCTCAGACAAGATTCATGGATGATTCTGAGGTGGAAGTTAGGATTCTACAGGGTTATATAGGGCTATGTAGGGTTTTGTATGATTTAGGGGTTATGTAGGATTTGGCAAGGGTAGGTGGGTGCGCAAGCTTTGCAGGTGTTGGCTTTTAGTGCGTAGTGTGACCTGGGGATTTAGATCTGGGGGCCTGGGGTGGAACATGGTCTTGGGGCGTGTACGGGGACCCTAGGATGGACAGTCCGCCATTGTCCTCAGTTTACCTTAAGGGTGCAGGTAACCCATAATTGGATCCCTCTAGAGAGATACATAGGGGTTACCTGCTGGGATTCAGGGTTAAGTGTCCATGTAACCATTCATTGGGTACTTAGGATTTTTGATGCTAGAAATTGTACTGGAGGTCTTGTGTAAGTATATGACGATTGGACATTTAGAACCGTAGGGTTAGTTTAGGTTTTAACCGCGGCCATGTAATGGCCCGCGCTCCTCCCATTGGAGGTGCTTCATGGCCTGGATCTACATGTCGATGATCTGCTGCCAAACTTGTTCATGGAACCTACTGTGGATGGAAGAACTTTCGCACCTTGAAAACCCCTAAGCCCTGAACCCTAAACCCTGGCATGTCGGGGGATTCCAGGGGCTGCAAGACTTCCTTCATCAACACTATGGGAGTTTCGTAGGATTTCATTACCCTAAGCGCTACACCCTAGACCATAGAAAAGGCTTACTTGGTGAGGTCCTGTGTCGACCGAGATGCTCAGGTGATGCACGTTGTAGACGTGCTGGGCCCTGAAGCAGTGATTCCCCTGGTGCAGATGCTTGGCTCACGGGCTTAGGGTTTTGGTGGTTTAGGATGTGGGGTTCCGAGTTTGATGAAAGCACTACGCTAAATATTCCGTGCAAGTTTGCAAGGGTGAAAATGAGGAGTCATAGCAGAAAAGACGATGGTTTCGCGCCAGCAGATACCTATTGCTGCTTCTCTATCTGCTGAGAACCATCTAGAGTTAGTACCCACCTTTGCAACTTCCACCATTCAAAGCCAAAAGACTGCAGCGTAAAAAAGTTAGTGCTGTGCCCCCCGCCACCTAAATCTTTACCTGCCACGCATTCACGCCTACTTCCCTCCAGATTAACCTTGAAACCCCAAACCTTAAAACACCCAAAGCCCTAAAACCCTAAACCCTATAAGCCCTAAACTAGCAAAAACTTAAACCCTGAACCATACCTGCCTAATCTCTTACACTCCATACCCTGTCCGCATCTACCCTCCATAAGCCCCAGCCTTGCTACAAGCTTTCGACCGCTGTAGGGTGTAGGGCTTAGGGCCCAAAATTAGTACATCGTTCTGAATGCCTGGTGTGAAATCACATTGGCCATTCAAATAGAGAGGCCCAAGAAGCAAGAGTCCTAAACTGTTGTCATTCTGGATTCCACAGCAGACTGCACCAGGCCGCGTAGGAGAGGGAAGGCCTTAAGTAAACCTATTACACTGAAACCCGAAATGCAAGGACTGAAGGCCTCCGGACATCATGCGACGCCGTGCATGGACTGGGCAGATGCCTGGACTTGTCTGAAGGCCCACTTTCGGGGCTCAAGCTGTAGGGCTCAGAGGTTGCAGGTTCGAAGGTTGTAATTTGGGGCTTCAGCGGTTTAGCGCTTGCATTGGGATTCACCAGGACCTGCAACATCTCTAGTGGGCACATAAGCCTTCATAAGGAATTTTTGACCGACCTTTTAAGAACTTCCTGGGTTCTGCGCGTCTCAGCCAGGCCCCAAAACCCAAGAATGCTTGGCCATGCCTTCTCCATGGCTTGCAGGCCATCGCTGCTACCCATGGATGCCTCGTTTGATTTGCAGGGTCCATTTCAACGGTAGGCAACAGAGACCTTGAGGCTTCAAACGGGCATTTTTGTTGTTGCGCTGCCCTCAGAATCATTCTTGGTGCCCAACAGAAAATCATGACAACACAAATTCAGCCGACGTTGCACTGAACAAAGGAGTGGGTGTTTGGACAAGACAGCTGTTGAGCTCAGAGTTTTTGTAATGATTCGGGCGGCCATCCCTCGTCGAATATCCAGGAGCCAAATGATGTTGTACCTAAGCCCGCAAACTGGTGAAAAGATTGGCGAGGATGTAGGTTGTTCTCAAAATCAGGGCCGCTTTTGGGTCTAAATTATATTACGGCACCTAATATTTAGGTCTACCAAAATGGGACCCTGATTTTGGGAACTACCCATGTACAGCAGCTGCAATAACCCAATCCTCCGTCAATGGCCCGGGCTCATATCCCAAGCTTCCCTCAGAGTTGCCTGTAACTCATATGGGCTATAGTCTAAACTCCTGAATTATAGGGGGTTATATGGGGGAGTATTCTAGGGCTTATTAAGGGGGTACTAGGAGTGTAGACTACAGCTGTCTGCTTGGTCCCCAACATGACCGCAATTCAAGCGAGGCTCTTGGGGAACACAGCCCTAAGGGTCCAAGGACCCAAATATTAAGTCTTATACAACCCGAAGGGTCCGAGGACCCAAACAGTTGTAAGGGTCCAAGGACCCAAATGTTAAGGCTCTAGGTTTCAAATATCATTCGGATTCTGGTATGTGGACCCTCAAGCCCTAATATTGGAGTCTGGACCCTAGGGCAAGGAACGGATGGGTATTTCAAAGCTGGACGCCAGGCAAAACCCAGGAAGGTGAAGCCAGAGGACGCGTGATACAGGGCCCCACTGATGACTGGTGCTAGCCTTTGCCAGATAGGTTGTCAGCATTGCTAGCACGGCGCAAATAGAAACCTGCTAAACCCCAACACTCCTAAACCCCTAAGTTCACGCCTCACCCTAAACCCTGGATCCTAAACCCTAAGCCCTAAAGCCTAAAACCCTGACCCCTGAAGCCTAAAACCCTGAACCCCCCAACCCTGAAGCCCTACCACGTGCGATGCTCAACCCTAAAGCCCTAAATCCTAAAACCCTAAACCCTAAAACCTTAAAACCCTGAACCCTAAACCCTAAAGCCCTACCGAGATTCAACTGCAAAGGTGACGAGTCGCACGCAGAGGCCCATGCGGTCCTGGAGGAGGTGCTGAGCCAAGGGCCGCATTTTGGGGTTCAGGATTTAGGGTT